CGTGCCCTCCCCTCACACTGCCCGCTCCCTTCCCTCTTCCCGTGCCCTCCCTTCTTCCCGTGCCCTCCCCTCACACCGCCCGCTCCCTTCCCTCTTCCCGTGCCCTCCCTTCTTCCCGTGCCCTCCCCTCACACCGCCCGTGCCCTCCCGTCTTCCCGCGCCCTCCCCTCGCATTTACCGGGTCCGGAAGGATCGGGGTTGTGCGTGTGGAGGCGCAGGCCGGCTGCGCGGAGTGTTGCGTTCAGCAGTAAGGCAGAGTTTGCCTGTGTGCTCCTGCCGTGGGCATCTGCCTGCGGACGGGAGCAAGCACGAGGGTTTCACTCTGGGGCCACTGTGGGGACTCCACGCAGCATCGCGGTTAAATAGTAAAAAAACCCACAAGTGGAAGGGAAGGGGAAACAGAATCGGGTTGGAAAAGACCTCCGAGGTCATGGAGTCCAGCCTGTGACCCTACACCACCCTGTTAACCAGACCATGGCATTAAGTGCCGCATCCACTCATTGCTTAAGACCTCCATGGACACAGACTCCGCAACCTTCCTGTGCTGGGCAGCTCATTCCAAAGTCTAATCGCGTTTTCAGGGAAGAACCTCCCCTGGCGCAACTTGTTCTTGTCCTGCCCCTTCTTCTTTTTTATTTATTTATTTCCCTTTTTCCCTTTAAACCACTGCTGTGCAGATTGTGTTTGAACACAGCAGCAATATTTGGAATTAATTCCAGAGAGGTTTGTTCATTGAACTACTACATAGTTTGCTTTGGGAATGTCAAATAACAACTGTATAGATGAGGGTATCAGATTAAGTGATCTGGTCTGACTAAGAGAATAAACCTTAGTCTTAAAGCAGCAGTCTCAGACTTTTTATGCTGTTGTGGTTAAAATACTTATTTGAATCAAGCTGGATTGAGTAGCAGGTATAGCTTTGATTGTACCTAAATAAAATCAATTATTAAGGACTGCTATAAATAAATAATTTAAATACTGCATACACATGGGGCCAACACAGACCTCTTTGTAGCCAAAAATCAGTCACAATGTCTACTTCAGTTTTATATGCAGGGTTTTTTTTAAGGCACTAAATAATTTTCATGAAATAAAGGCCTTTTTTTTCTTTAACTGGATGTAAGGATAAGAACAGGAAATCAATTTTTTTTTTATTACTTGGTTGAAGATGCCCATGTAGACATGCTTTTACTGCAGGATATTAGATTTTTTTAATATTAAGGTTTTGGTGGTGTATGTAATAGGCACTTCTGAGCAAATGACCCGTACAGCAAGGGTGATAAAGAGACCTGGTAGTCAAACCTTCTGTATGCTGCAGGGCATTTGATTTCATTTGCTTTCTCTTACATAAAATGCTAGAAGTCCATAACCTCCTCATTCTTCAGGCCTAAACTGTTGATTTAGTTACAGTGGAATTGTTTATATTGGTAAGAACACACGTAAGGTGTATATGGTGCTAAATGTCACAGTAATTCTTTAGCTTGGACAACCACATATATGAAGAAATATTGAAGGCAATTAACAACTTCTTAAAATTTGCTGCAGCCACCTTTACTGGACCATGAAGAAATAAATTACATTTTTGAGAGTGTATAGATCTTGTATAGATCTTGTCAACATCTATAATAATGGATTCATTTGTCTTAAAATAGTGTGCCTTAGTATTATACACATGGATTCTATGAGATAGACAATATTCTAACCAAGTATGCTGTCTGTTCTTCCATTTGTACTTTTCAAAGACTCACAAAGTGTTTGACAGTTGTTAAACTGAACAAATTTGTGTCTGGAAATTTGTAATGTCCAAATGTAGAATTTAGTTACCTGGATTGTTTTCCTGGTAAAGGCAGTGTGTGTGTGTGTATGTGAGAGAGAGTGTGTATATTTGTGTAGGGGTGTGTGTGTGCCTGTACCCAAACCAGCAGACAATCTCAGGGAGTTTTCTCTTTGCTTTCAAGCCTTGTTGATTAATACTGTGGGAAGCAAACACTGCTGCCATTCCCACATACTTGTATTATTGTCAGCTGTTCTCTTTGCATTAACAGCTGACTGAGCACCTGCCCTCCTATTTCTGTTCTTTTATTGTTTTTTGTTTTGTTTCATTTTGTTATTTCTCATTCTGCCTTTAGAAACGCCATATGTGCTATTTTTTTCCTCCTTTTAATTATCCCTTGAATGATTCGCAAATCAAGGCATTTTTTCTAGACACCTTGCTTGCAGCTGTTAACTGCTGAGAAGCAGGGTGAGTGAAGAGCAGCCCAGCATCCAAACTAATGATGCTACCTGGTACAATTCTTTGTGATGTCATTCCAGGACTGTGGATGTAAGTGATTCTAAAAAGCTGCAGTTTTTAAAAGAGGCAAACAGGCCTAGCTGTTGTGCTCCTTTTTACACAGTTAACTCTGGTAAGACGAATTAATTAGTGGACATTGGTCCTTGTTTGGGGATCAAGAAAGGAAGATAGAGAAGGAAGAAACAGAAGGGCAAGGAGGAAGAGTCATCAGCAAGGAAACTCAGGTGAAGAAATGTTGGGACTTATTCATTCTTCATTTCTGTACAAATGTGGTGAATGTTGATCACAGTAGTAACTTTGAGCATCTCCAGAAAAACATGGTCATGCCTCAAATCAAATGATCCCTTTGCTTTGGGAGGAGTTGCACATCAATATAACATGTTATAACATGTATAAACAGGAAGAAGTGTAACCCTTTAAAGGAATGGTGTATAATCTCTGATGTGTCAGAATACTCTTTCCTGAAAATCCTTCTTGTTTAGCATAAGCAAATTAAAAAATGTAAAATAAAGCATTTATAGCTTGTCATTTGGAAACCCATTACAAAACCTTCAGTTTAAAAGGAGGCTTTTCTTAAACACTGCATCACAAATCTTGCCATGCTTTTCCTTCAGGCAATAAAATTCTGCTTTTGAGGCTGGCTGTTATCATCTTGGAGTAGAAGGAGCTATGTATCCCATTATATAAACAAAAGCTGTGTTAAATTGCATGTAATTCTGAATGAATATAAACTGCAACATGGAAATGTGGTGGGACAACTCACATAGCTGGAGTGCTGGCAGCTCTGGATGGCTACAAGCTCTTCAGAAGAGATAGGAAAGCAAGGTAGAGAGGTGTATATAAAGGGAGGCCCTTTATATTGGAGAGGCTTTCAATGCCATGGGTATTGGAACTAGTGACAATGAAGTTGAATGCCTATGGGTAAGAATTAAGGGGAAGGCCAACATGGCTGACATCCTACTGGAAGTCTGTTATCCACCCAGCCAGGAAGAAGAGGTGGACAACTTACTCTATAAGCAGCTGGAGAATGTTTCAGATCCCCAGCCCTTGTTCTTCTAGATGAATTTGACCTGCCAGACATCTGCTGAGAACTTAATACAGCAGAAAAGAGGCAGTCCAGGAAGTTCTTAGAGTGTGTGGAGGACAACTTTTTGTCGCAGCTGGTGGGCCTGCCAAGGGACGGAGTATGTTAGACCTGTTGTTTGCAAATAGAGATGGACTGGTGGGTGATGTGGTGGCTGGAGGCTACTTGGGGCACAGCGATCATGAAATGATAGAATTGTCAATATTTGGTGAAATCAGGAGGAGCACCAATAAGACTTTTACACTGGACTTACAGAGGGCAGATTTTGGCCTATTTTGGAGACTTATTCAGAAAGTTCCTTGGGAAGCAGCCCGTAAAAACAAAGGAGGCCAGGAAAGGTGGGCATGCTTCAAAACAAAGATCTTGAGGGCACAGGAAGAGACTGTCCCTGTGTGCTGAAAGATGAGTTGATGAGGCAAATGTCCAGCCTGGATGGGTAGCAAGGTTTTGAAGGAACTTAAGAATAAAAAGAGGATGTATCATCTTTGGAAGGAGGGTCAGATCTCTCAGGAAGTATTTAAAGGGGTTGCTAGGGCATGTAGGAAAAAAATTAGGGAGGCCAAAGCTCAGTTTGAACTTAATTTAGCAACTTATGTGAAGGATAATAAAAAGATTTTTACAAATATATTAATGGCAAAAGGAAGGTTAAGACTAACCTTTATTCTCTACTGGATGTGGGAGGGAACCTAGTAACTGCAGATGGGGAGAAGGCAGAGGTGCTTAATGCCTTCTTTGCCTCAGCCTTTAGTGGGAAGATGCCTTGTCCTCAGGACAGCTGTCCTCCTGGGTTGGTAGATGGTGTCAGGGAGCAGAACGGTCTCCCTGTTATGTTGCAGTCAGCAACCAGCCCCGAACAGAGGCCGAGCAGGGGTTTTTGAGGGACAGAACTCTTGAGGATCTCCACCCTTGAGGGTGGAGTTCAGGGTCAGGGAGCACTAGAAACACAGCAAGGGAGAAACCCCCAGGGACTCAAACCCAATCAGAACACCTGGGCCGCCATTCACAAGGGGTTTGGGGTGGGACAATGCTTATCTAAAAGTACCTCTTTGTCCGCCTGAGGCATGTCACAACACTGTTATCCCAGAAGAGGCAGAGAACTGCTGAGACACTTGGATATTCATAAATCTATGGGAGCAGATGGGATCCATCCCAGGGTGATGAGGGAGCTGGCAGATGAGCTTGTGAAGCTGCTTTCCATCATTTACCAACAGTCCTGGCTCACTGGTGAGGTTCCAGATGACTGGAAGCTGGCCAATGTGACACCCATTCACAAAAAGGGTAGTAAGGGGATCCTGGTAATTATAGTCAGCCTGACCTCTGTCCCCAGTAAGGCAATGGAGCAGTTTGTACTGAGTGCCATCACACAGCACTTACGGGATGGCCACGGCATCAGACCCAGCCAGCATGGGTTTAGGAGGGGTAGGTCATGTGTGACCAACCTGGTCTCCTTTTATGACCAGGTGACCTGCCTGGTGGATGCAGGAAAGGCCATGAATGTTGTCTGTTTGGACTTCAGCAAGGCTTTGACACTGCACAGTGCACTCCCACAGCACACTCCTGGAGAAGCTGGCAGCCCATGGCTTGGACAGGAGCACTCTGTGCTGGGTTAGGAACTGGCTGGATGGCCAGGCCCACAGAGTGGTGGTGCTGCATCCCCGTCACCAGTGGTGCTCTTCAGGGGTCTGTGCTGGGGCCAGTTCTGTTCAATATTTTTATTGGTGACATGGATGAGAGAATTGAGTCCTTCATTAGTAAATCTGCAGACAACACTAAGCTGGGAACATGTGTCAATCTATTGGAAGGTAGGAGGGCTCTGCAGAAAAACCTGAAATGGTTGGATGGATGAGCAGAGTCCAGTAAGATGAAGTTTATTGAGTCCAAG